AGAGAGAGAGAGAGAGAGAGAGAGAGAGAGAGAGAGAGAGAGAGAGAGAGAGAGAAACTTTCTCCCTCTTCCCTTCTCCAAAGCAATTCCTCACTGGAGTTGAATTGGGAGTTCTGTCTTCAGCTAAATTCTCCCTCCCTGGACCTCTGTTAGGAGCCTCGCGGCAGCACCTCTAGGTTTATGTCACATTCCCATCTCTGGGCTCCCCGAGCAGTAGGACAAAGGATCTGAAGAAGAGGGCCACAAACGAGGAGAAAGGGCTCGAACCTGATGTTTCCATCACTACACAATACCGCTTTCTTTAGTAAGGTGCTTGGTGCGTTCCACCCAGTGCAGTCACATAGAGAGACTGGAGGCTCGCGGCTGTGCCGGAGTATGCCCCAAACTCCTGCCCTGATCCATTCGACCAGGGAACTTTCAGTCACACTCACTGAGCAAGGAAGGACTTGGAGGGGTGGGGGGGGGGGGGAGAAGTTTCCCCAGAGCTCCGTGAAGCTGGTTTCTTCCTGATAACCGGTGGGAGGAATTAGAAAGGTGCCTGTCCTCCAAGTTAAAATCTTGTCCAATTGTGTCTTGAAAAGACGGGAGGCAATATGTTTATCTGGCACATAAACGACGCCATATAAACATTTGTATCGCCTTTATAAGGGAAGAGCAGAGATTCTTGGAGACTACTTATGTGGGGGTGGGTAGATTAGATAGATAGATCGCCTTACTTCGATCTAAACTTTAACTACAGAATAACTGAAAAGATTGTAATGGACGAGGAGCTCCTAGGGCAGTCTTTTGTTTGGAAAGGAGTGATATTCATTGTTTGTCATCGCAGAGAAAGAGAGGAAATTAATTGCAACCAATTAATAATTAATCCAATTTAAACAGCTTTATTATCTCCCCAGAACGAGGGGGATTTGTCAGATAACCCCCCGAAGACCAAATGTCAAGTTTAACCAAATAGTTATTGCTTTATCAAACAGCGTCTGCAAATAAATTAATCAAAAGCAAATATGTCCTTTGTGCGGCTCATTTGCCGGTAATGGATGGAGATGAAGATTTGCCGATATTATTGTCTGTCATTCAGTCTAACAAAGTGAACATTTATTGCATATATATTAAAAATTATCCCTTAATCGAGCAGGGCTGGGGTTGAAGTTATTGGAGTCTCCACAGAGGTGAGGTCCCCTTGGATAGAAGCGGGGAGGGCCTCTTCCTCTCCTTTCCCTGCGATTCCCTTCAGAACGTGTTTCAAAATTGCTTTAATCCACCGCTAAATTGAGCTGTTTTACTAACTGTCCACAACACCCTAAACAGTCTGAGGAGCTAATGGACGGGATGTTAGAAAAATAGTGGACGTAAGGCACATCAGAGGCGATACATTAGCCCAGGAGTGATGGCCCGGGACCTAGCAAGGGGAAACAACTCCTCTTTGTCTCCCTCTTGGTTACATCATTTTCTAATTAGGCATAAAATTGTCTTCATACACTGGTATCGCTGGCTTCATAAACATAACCATTATGGTTCATAAGGATCCCATTGTGGGGAACCCTTCTCAAAATAGAAAAGGATTTGGAGAGGCCCGGAGAAAAAAACATCCCCTTTGTTTTCTCTTTTGAGAAGATGGATGGGCGATGTCACGCAGCTGATTACTTTAGACTATTAAATTGTCAGAAAGGAAGAATTTCCCTAATAATAAGGGTTTATGGGGAATTATAGAGTTGGGTTCAGGGGGAGACAGATCGGAGACTAACAAGGAAAAACCGAAAAGGGGGGGGGATTATGCTCTAAAAGCAAAACTGCTGGGGAGGGAAAATTGCCTGTGTAAATCATTATTTAGTAAAATAAAAGGAATTAATCTAGGAAAACGGACGTAATTTTAGTGCTAGAGCTTCCTCTGGTAAAATGATTTTTCAATAAGGATTTCTCTCTCTCCCCCCTCTTTTGGGGGGGGATGCTGTCGGGGGGACCTGAAGCACTTGCACGTCAAAGGCTTTTTTAAAACAGCAAATTCTCCCATTTGTCCCTGTACAAGGGCCAACTGTGTCTCTGAATTCTGCTGTCTCCCCAAAGCAAAAGCAGACTGGGCAGTTACCCCGGCCATGAATGGCAGGGCCGAGCAAAGCTAGCCTTAGCTCCAGGACGTAAAGCCAATTCAGCCCGCGCCCTATTGGGAGCACGGCGCTAACTGGATGGAGATGGATGGAGCTGCTGCGAGCCCCCGACGCGGTGTCAGACCTGGGACAATTACTGTCTCCAAGCGGATGGACAGACTGACCTCGGCGCACTGGCCCACTGGCGGCCCTGATGAGCTTATCTGCAATTTGCTGGATTTAGTTTACAATAACCCGACTTGACATAAATAACTCCCATGCTGTGGCTACGCCTGCCTGACCTCCTGAACTAGTGCGAAAACACTGCTGTATTGAGCCAGGAGACAGGTTTTTAAGCTATTAAAATATAAACAAAATTCGAGCTACTTCCCAAGCCAGTTCTGCCCAAAGATTGTGGTACAGGCTCTTTATTTCATCCGTGCTCAAGCGGACGGGGAGCTTCGATTTCTCCTGGGTTAATTTTTTAACCGCCACCACCACTTTCCTAATTCTGTCCCCTTCTCGCTTCCCTTTCGCATGGCATGAACCCACCGGCTACTCTGCGAAAGGCCAAAGCACGGACCGAATATTTAAAATATGAGCTTTGATTTAAAGCATCCCAACGCCCACGCTTTTAAACAGGATTGCAGAAGAAGGGCCTCAGAGCAGATGGGATAAGCAGACTGACATGGAGTTTATAGACGATTCCACTCCTGCACACTCACGTCTCCAAATACAACAAATCTGGCGCTCAGACTCTACGCTGCTGAAATCCACATAAGTGTTCTGAGAGCTCACCTAAATTCGGCCTGAAGACATAGCTTCTACTCACCCCCGAGGGTTTAGTTGCACATAAGGGATATAGCGACTGGTCCAAAGCCCACCGAAACCAAGGGGCGATTTTTCATTCACTTCTGTGGGCTTTGAATCAAACCCATCACCCCGTGCGAGTCCGTTTCTACAGTCCCCACTCAAGCTACTGCCAAGTGAATGACAAATCTGCAGTCTCCCCTGGAACGGCCCGGAAGGTATTTGTGAATAAGGCCCTAAAGATATGGCCCAGATGGAATAAGGGCTGCAGGGTGCGGCTCCTCTTGAGAGACCTACATCTGGAACAGCACATAGACAACTTCAGCACTTCCTCAACCTCACTGGAGTATTTGTTCGATTTGAAGAGTCCCTGTAGGAGGAGGATTTGAGATCATTGTAGATCAGATGCGGCTCTACACAATTATATACGTGTAAGCAGATACAGAACGTTTCTCACATCTCATTTTATTAACTTGATGCAATATAACAGCTATGGAAGAAGACCTGCAGGCCTGACAATGGAGAAGCGAGTGGGACCTTCACACTACACTGTAAAAAGCACGTCTCTCATAGACACCTTTGTTCGTGTCCTTTCTGAAAGCATGGAGTTTAACCAGAGCGAGTTTGGAGACCTTAACCCAATATCTCGTAACACATCTAAATGCTGTTATCTGAGTGACAACAGTATGGTACATTGGCTTCAACAGCACAACCGTTTACTGCACGTGCTCAGTAGTCAAATGTGAAATTAAATAATTTTCCAAAGGAAAGAGGCAAACAAATAGTTTGTCTACACTCTAGACCAACTACTTACAGCATTTCACTGTCAAGTGAAAAATATTGAATGACTGAAATGCTGAAATACACACAAACATTTATCTGTATCTCTGTAGATAGTATTTATTTTTTAAATGTGTAAACGAACAAATAACATACCTAAACACACCAGAAGAAGCCCTTGAAAACATAATTGTAATGGGAAACTAGTGCGTCACTATTGTGAGCTGTTGCTACACCAGCTAAAGAAACATTGCATTTTTCATTCAGTAAGAACGTTGTAATCAGTTTCCATTTTGATCTATTGCCTCTTAGCTACAATTGCTGATCCCATGATTTGGCTATTTTAGCCCTATTCCTTTGCCTACTAAAATACGGGAATGGAGTTCAGGCTTCTCACACAACGTTTGTTGAAACAAGATCTTTGTTTCTGTCCTTTGGGAAACTCGGCGCCTAACTATAGGAAGGGAAGGTGGGGAGGGGCACCAAGAGTGAATGGTAAGGAAGAAAAGAGGCTTCCCCTGAAAAGTCCCCTCCGAGTCCTTGTAAAGCGGATCTGGTGTTATCCATTTAACGTGGCATATGGAAATCTTCCCGCGAATCTACAATTAAAGGAGCTCCCCTTTATTCTTTTATTCTCCTGTTAACTTTTGTGTTAAATGTTAACAACCTGGCCCTAGCTATTATGGCGCTATTACCAAGTGAATGTTGACTCCAACCCGGACTTCTTTTCTGTCTATTCTGAGGCTGCCCTCCCACGCAGATTTATGTATTTTTGATATTAAATTCTTTCTCTCATTAAGGCTGCTCTCTTGTTGACTTTTATTGACCCTCGGCCCCTATCCCCATACTTTTCCATATTTAATACTGAAACATTTTTCCAGTGCCCTCCCCTCTTTGTTACCTCCCGGTTGACTGCTGTCCCTAATGGCATGTGCTGTTTGCTCTGTTGTTGAACTTGGTAGGGTCACATAGTCTTGTGCTGTGATATTCTCTGCATTTCCAACCTTGCTATTCTGATGAGGTGCCTTGTATAACAAGCCTTTTTCCCCTAGCTACCAACTTCCTAATTACTTAAACAAACACCTTCCCTAATGATCCCCTAGGCTTCCTAATCCCTTTCGGGTTTTGTTTAGCTGAACTGCTAATGCTCTGCCTGTCCTACTGGCAGCTTGGCCTTTCTGACCTGAGACATCGCAGCTCTTCTCCTTGGAGCGGGTTGCCTTGTCCAGCTCCTCCTGGGCCAAAGGCCAGGCTCATGGGAGCATTGCATGCCACCAGCTGCTTGAGGTGACACTGAGTTACAAAGGAGAACCGCAAAGGAAACTTCAGCTCACACAGGCAAATGAATGTGTTCATTTATCTCTCCTAATTCAACACTTTGCTTCATGCCTCGGCCATACAGCTTGGCGGATGGAGAGAATATGTAAAGGAATAAATGTCCTTCCCAAGAAAGATTGGCTCACTTCTTGTGGCCGGTCTGTTCAGTATCATTATGTGACCAATTTCCAGAATTGAAGTTGCCTGGTGTTTTGATTCTTCCCTGCCTGTGCATTTGTGCCCTGGAGGTCCCTTCAAAATGGATACTAATTGTTGGGGCTGCACACTGCTGGCTGCTAAAATGCCCCAGGGCTCCAAGGACCTGCTCCTCAATGGCTTAATTGACAAGGACTTGTCTGTATTTAGGAGCAGCTGGTCCAAAGCATTGGCACATCAGTGCAATCTTAACACAGCATCCCTAGCCTGGAGGAGTATGAGGGTAAACGTGGTTAAAATGAAGGAAGATTTATAGTCGGCCCCCTTGGGTAATAGGACAGAAGACAGCTACCAAGATTTTGCCCTAGTAGGGGTTTCATTCATCAGCTTCCCAGCCTTGGTAACATGTCTAGGAGCCACGTTCCAGCTATTATTAATAATAGGAGGTGGCCATTTAGAACAATTAGGCAGGTGACAATATTCCACAATAATGCAGAGCCCTAAACAGGACAGGGGAGCCACAGACGAACAAATCTGTCACTGAATAACACTGGGATTCTGCACTGTAGCTGCTTCCCTTTGGTTTTAGTTTGATCCAAGAGGCACCGAGCTCTCATTTATATAGGAAGTTTGCAGCCTGGAGTTAAATGTATTACCAACTAAATTATAACAGGCATCATTTTACAATGCTCCTATAAGAAAGGGGTATTTTGTGGAGAATGCGCTTCAAGCCTGTTTAGGGTGCAGCTTTCTATAAGGAACTGTCTGCTTTAAAACGTAGACCATTACATTTAAGTCATGTTTTAGTTTTAAAACGGAATTGCGATTAGGAGTCCAACGTATTTCATTTCAGAACTATAGCGCCTCAGATCTTTTCTTTTGCTCCTTTAAACCCCTTTAGCTTGCACAATTCTTCTTCATCCGATTTAAATATTTTACTTCTAAACGCGACCTGCTATTTTGTCATAGAGAGTTATTCAGCTTTTTACAAAGGAGGTTTATGACATGGTTTAAAATTAAAGTGGTTGTTTTTATTGCAATGTGTGGGAAATACTTTTATGTTCACACAGTTCGCCCTGTGAATAGGGATAATAGGTTTGGGATCTTCATTGAAATTTGAAGTTTTTAAACAGAAATTCCCTAACTTTTGCTCGTTTTCTCAACTTTTTTTGCAGGAACAATGCCAACATTGAAGCCCTCGGTTGGAGTCTGCACAGTTGGAGATCTTTGGTGCCATTTTAGACATCTTTGGATTTCATCAATCAAACTGACTGCAATTTTCCATAAAAACCCTGAATTTGGGTCAGAAAGTGGGCAAAGCAGATAAAGATCATTCGGCTGTCTTATGAGATGATAAATAGATATCCATTCAGCCCAACAATGCAAGAAGTGCAGTTTTGTAATTCACTTCCTTGGTTTTGAATGCAGTGAGTCGAAACAATTTATACATGTTTTCCCATGGTTTAGAAGATGTCTTTACATACTTGTCAATAGTAACTTGACCTTTTTCCCCACTGAGTTACCAAGTGGTATGTGTTTGTTTGCTTGTTTTCCCCAAAGAACAGAAAAGGTTTCTTTTTTTTAGAGACAAAATCAATAGATTATTTCTTCTGGTAGTAGCCCATATCAAGCTTAACTGTGTTCTGTTGGTGATTTGCCGTGTGCTTCTTTCGATACCTGTGGTCCAAGTTGGGTTTCACACAAACCTGTTGGACTTGCTCAGAGTGTATTCTTGAACTTGACGAAGGGCCTTTTGAATAAGGCGAATGAAGAGACGCCCTAAAAGAAATCAAAGCAGTTAAAGAAGCCTCAACGGGTCTTACCAGTCTGCCTCAGACCCTGGGGGTGGGGGGCTGCTTGAAATCTTATCTGAAAGTGATCTGTGAATGAAAAAAAACCCAGTTTCCATTCTTTTTTCTCACAGTAAAACAAATTATTTTAATCCTAGTTGAGATGCTGCCTGCCACATGGCTCATGCTCTGTTTAGCCCGTATTCTCTTTCTACTCTTGACTCTGCTGCCCCAAACTGCTGTTTGGTTTTAACACGTTTTCGGACATTATGTTTCGCCGGATTCCTGGCCTGAACTTTGCTAGAGGGAAACATCTTGCATAGGAATATAGTATGACTGGTGCAGTCCAATTTGCCGTTTAGTAAACACAGGTGTGCATTGTGTACAGACATGTGCCATTACATAGTTATGCGATGTATATTAATATGCATAAACATCTTTAATACTTATAGTAATAAAATAGCCCTCGCATAGAGCCATGGATCTTAAGGTGCATTACGAAGGAAGTTAAGTATAATTAATCTCATTCTACAGACGGAAAAACCGAGGCACAAAATGGTTAAGTAACGCTTCCAAGGTTAGAAAGGAAGTCAGTGGCAGAGCAGGGAATGGAATCCATGCCTCTTGATTCCCAGTCTCAGGTCCCTATATAGAGGAGCAATCTATATTACCTGAGTTGATCAAATACATTCAGCTAAGCAGTGGATTCTTTTGAGCATTCCAGAGAAGAGCAACAGGAATGATTTAAGGTCTAGAAAACATGACCTATGAGGGAAGATTGAAAAAAAATGGGTTTGTTTAGTCTGGAGAAGAGAAGACTGACAGGGGACATGATAACAGATTTCAAGTACATAAAAGGTTGTTCCAAGGGGGAGGGAAGTAAATTGTTCTCCTTAACCTCCGAGGATAGGACAAGAAGCAATGGGCTTCAATTGCAGCAAGGGCGGTTTGGGTCAGACATTAGGAAAAACTTCGGAACTGTCAAGGTGGTTAAGCACTGGAATAAATTGCCTAGGGAGGTTGTGGAGTCTCCATCATTGGAGACTTTTAAGAGCAGGTTAGACAAATACCTGTCAGGGATGGTCTCTACTTAGTCCTGCCATGAGTGCAGGGGACTGGACTAGATGACCTCTGGAGGTCCCTTCCAATCCTATGAGTCCATCCACCTAACCTCTGTACTTAGCTAGTTATATACTAGTTATATATACACACTTTCCCCCTACAACTAGGAAACAAAGGGAATACTCCTGCTGGCGGAGGGGAGGACGTAATGAGTCTTTTTCATCTTTAATTCTTATAACTCGGTGATTTTCTATTAACTGCTCTTGTGCACTAAAAGCTATAAGAAACAATCTTATAAACATAAATAAAGTGCAATCTAATATAGATATAGCATAAAATTGACCTATTCCAGCAGCCAAGACGCCCATTTAAGTCAATGAGAGTTTTGTAGGAGCAAGGACTGAAGGCTTATTCCAATATGACCTGGGGAAAAAAACGTATGTACTTTTATTGGTTCAGAACGATGCAGGATAGTGACTTCTTTAAGTGGTTAATTATTATGAAAGTAGATCTCTGAAAATCACTTGTTTCTTCCACCAGATCTGTCATATACAATATACATAAGAGAGAGGGAGAGAGATTTTTTCCCTCAAGCTTTTTCTCGCTAGCCTTGAACACCACAACACTACTAAGTGCTAAACACTCAGTTAATGGATAATGCAGCCTCTGACCTGCAATGTACAGCTTCCTCTCATGCATCTGGTGAAAGCTGCTTTTACTATTAATTACATTTTGTAACATGAGCTGAGGCAGGGTTCCTATTAAAACAACCCTGAAAACGTTTCTCCAGAAATGCCAGTGTTAATGCTATCCTGGGTCCTCACAGCGGGTCTTTCACTTCTTTTCAAACTCTACTCCCCAAATCACCCAGACTTTTGTTTAAAAATCATAGATTCTTAGCTCTCTCACTATCTCGATAAATCCAAGACAATGGGGTGGTTATGTTATGGGCCCCTTTTCACTAATAGGAAAACAATGTTTTGTTTTCCAGGGATATATTTTAAAGGCACTGCTGTATGAAATTTAAAATGAAATGCTCCATTCCACTCACCAGTGGTTGGCGTTTGCTAAGAGGCTAAGCAGGTTTTTCACACACTAGGGTTTCATGGACATCACGTCTTTATACGCCGCCCCCACCCATCTCCACACCCCTCTTAAATTGAGTAATAAGCTAATCCTGGTGTGGCCAGGTATCTCCATTTATTCTCATCTCTAAGGCGAATCTTTTGGGAAAGTTTGGTAAAATTCCATCTGACCATGACAAAAATGATCTCCCCCCCCCCTAAGTTAAGAAATATTTTATCTTCATTTTTTTTGCAACTGGATATTAAAATATTGTATTATCACATGTTTCAAATTGTCATTGATGTAGGAACAAGAAAGCTATCTGTTTGAAAATCATGTGCCACTTTACAAAACCAGGCAGCTATTTCTGGTAAGGGCCAAATAAAAGCTCCCACTAAAATCAGAGGAAGCTTTGCACTGCAGGACAGACAGACTGGGTAACAAAGTATTGTGTGGTGTCCCAGATACACACGTACATATGACGGTCTATGTACATGTATATGCCAACTGGGGAAATAATAAAGGCAGCTGGGTTTATTCTAACCACTACAGCATTCAAGCAAACACCCTTGGAATATGTAATCCATATACAGAACAGGCTAGATCATTCACGTGTACACACTTTGCCGGGGATACTGATTTCCTTAAAGTAAATGGGAATTTTGCTGTTGACTTTCAAGTGAGCAAGATCAGGCCTCTCGTTGGCCCTACTGAATGTGTTACCGCTCACTGTTCGCTTTCTTTTCCTTAAATACACAAGTAAAATCACAGCCATATTTTGGGGGGGGGGTAGTACACTGGCTCCTCTGCCTCTCTGAGCAGGAAAGCCGTGTTAGAGATTTGAATGGACCTGAATAAACCCAAATATCTCAGTGTTGATATTTGTGTTTGTGTTTCCTGGGCTCTCCCTCTCACACACACACACACTTGACACAGGAACTCTGAGCAATGTGCAACTAAAACAAAATGGGAAAACCCTGAACCTACAGTCTCTACTCAGGCAGCTGAAGGCAATGGGAGTTTTGCCACAGGCTTGGTCTGGGATCTGGTCTCCTCCAGAAATGAAATACAAGGAGATGGCTAGTCTCACGTTATTTTGGCCTGAGAGAGAGCTCTCAGAGGCATTAGAAAGGCCAGAGATAGTCACCGAAATAAATATTTGAACACAAGTATTACTACCCCCGCCACCCCCGAATTACTTATTCTTTGCAAGTGTGAATCCTCTAACAAATATTTCACCACTAAGCCCCTTTAATATAGAAGGGAAGAGGTAACGGTGAAGCTGCTGGATTTATGGGTCACCAATGTGACATGTAAAAATTAATACTCCCCTCCTTTACAAACCCCCAAATCACCTGAGTGAAAGGAGACCGCCCTGACTGCTTTTCAAAGGCATGGATGAGCTCTGAGGGAGGTGCATATAGCTGTCATTTCATTCGTAAATCCGACATAGTCCGACCAAAAATGGGGAAGAAAATACAGATTTTAGAATATTATTATTTGGTGCCATTGCAAAAGCATTGTCAACTTGTATTTATAAATCGGGAGAGCGGGGGACACGAGAAACAAATTGCAGCTTCTAGACCTTGTTCTGCAAAAGGTGTCGCGTGAAGATATTTGTTATAGGTAGTTTGCAATGGTAACTCGTTTTCTATGGTGTCCTCTAGTTATGATCAAACTATAAAGGCCTTCATGTAAACAGATACATAGAACGCTTCTTTGACTCTCTATCCAGAGTCATTTTGTAGCGTTTAATTATCTGGTGATTAACATAGAGTGTGAATTCCTGAGGCAGAGATTGTGTCCTATGTGTTTGTTCAGCGTCTCCTACAGTGCTCCTGTCTCGGGCCTTTGGACTTCACTGTAATATAAACACATAATAGTTGCATCAGATTCTAATCTCCAACCGAGTTGCTGATTTCCCATTAACTCAAAAACAACTGGTATATGCAAGAAAAAGCAGAGAAAATCAAAGGCTAGAATTTGGTCCGTTGGGCGAAAGACCCCCCAATATACCTAGACAAACCCAGGAACCTGATTCTGCCCGGGGATATGTGCGTAGCTCCCACAGAAGTCAATGGGAGCTGAGCACATGCATCCAAGGGGAGAGTTTGGCTCTGGGTGTGTCTCTGAGAGTCAACGTGTCAAATTCAATTTTCATCTTTAGCTTTGAATTTATCGGGGTGTTTGGATTGTTGCGCTTTGTTTTCCTTGGGCTCTTTCCATCTGTTTGACAAACAAAAAATTAAGGGCATTTTTTAAACGCAAAAATTGTTTCCTAGCAAAAATACCTAGTTAGGTTTTAAAAATCCATATATTTTACAATGTCTATTTTTTCGTCCCGTGCTACGCGCAAATAATTCCCTACCAACATTAATGGGCGTTATGAAAATATCTCTCTAGCATTTTAGGAAGAAAATCTGTATTATTTAACATCAGTAGTGGGTTATATACCTGCTATTCTACACGAAGGTGTTTAGGTATTGCTGTGGTTGTATTTCTTTTGCTGCTGTGCTTTTAAGAAAAAAAAACAATATCCATTTTTTAAGAGGGCTTTCTGAGCTATTAGAACCATCATCTTAATTTTTTAAAAGGCGCCTTATTAAAATGCCGATTCTTTACCTGATCGTGTAAATATTTATGAGCTTCCCAACCTATCCGAGTCTTTTAAAAATGTAAATAATTCACCCCAATGTAAGTGCAAATCATTACCGACTATCCTGTAAATATGTATCTGGAACGTATTCGCGAGCCTGGCGTTACGATCCCGTGGGCTCGTACACACTGTCCAATATCTGCCTAATCCCTGGTCTTTCAAACGCGGAAGTATGAGCGGATAAATGTATCCGTGTTATGTCAACGTGCACCCATGATCGGCATTGCTCTGCTACTATGGATCCGTCATACTGCCCTGTGAGGGATTCATAGTCCTAACAAGTCACACGGGCGTGTGCGGGCTAGAGTCACTGCTCAAGCCTTCACGCTCTCCTCTCGCTGACGGGAGGTGAAAGTACCCAAAGGGCCTGGTCC